TTTTTTTTTTTTTTCTTAAAAATTTTTTTCGGAGTTCGGATCGGAAAATTATTCCGAATCCTCAATATTACTAGTCAAGGATTTTCAACATACTATACCCAATTTTGATTGAACCACAAGATTTTTGAGTAACTATAAGGAATTGAAACTCCGTTATATGACACATGATCTGTGAAATAAACAAAAAAAAAAAAAAGAAAAAGAAAATAGTCACGAGTTCAATTTTTTTTAGACATGAGAGTTTAAAATCATCAAATTGAATTTTTATTTTTGAACATCAACTATCAAAAATAACCAATCTTGAAAATGTTCATTATAAATAAGTTGAAATTGAAACAAACTGATTGATTGATTGATAAATAATAATAGTTTAATAGTTTTATTATAAAATATATATATATACACATATATTATTATTATAATAATATTATATAACACTTACATTGTCATTCTCTGAATAGAATTTCGTTCGCCGCCCTTAACCAACAAATAAATATTGATGCATTTAAGATAAAATGATCTAACCAATTTGGCGTGATCATTTCACATATTCGGAGTTATTGCGTGTATTTATGGTATGTCGGAGTTTTCTCCGCGCCAAGAAAAAAAAATTTCTTTTTATTTTTCTTTCTACTTCTCCAATAAAAATTTAAATAAAATTTAATAAAAAAAAAAAATTTTTTTTTTTTTTTTACCTAGTCACAAGAAAGCAAGAATCACGTTGTGATTATAATGTAAAATTAAGCATAAATATTTAAACTAAACTTTTTTAAGATCAGTTGCAATATGTCTCTTTATTGCTGATCTGTTTCCATTTTATTTCTACCGTTTTTCATTTAACAGGTTTTTTTTTTAACATTACCAATATTTATTTCGCGGAGAAATCGGGAATCAGATGATCAGTCAAATAACAAGTTAGTATATCATTTTTCTTTTTAAAGAATTATGGTATGAAATGAATATTGATTTCACACGATATTTTTTCTTTTTAAAAAAGAAAAAGGCAAAAAGGTCAAAAAAGATATTTTGTTAAAAAAGATTTGAAAGATTACAAAAAAAGTTTCTATATATATACTACATATACTGTATATATTAAAAAACCTGAAATTTTGCAAGTTTTATAAGTTTTATGATATTTTTTTTTTTTTTTCTGAGAAATTTTCTGTTGTAACCACAATAAAATGACTTGAAATACTTGAAAGTATTTTTCTTTGAAACTTAAAAAATATGTTCATTTTTAATTTTTTTTGAGACTAAACTTATCACGGAAAAGTTATAATAGAGTTTCAGGAAATGAATACATAATGAATACATAATGAAGTAAAATGGATAAATTAAAGGAACGCGTGCGAAATGATAAATGAATTTTTTTTTTATAATATATATTATATTATATATAATATTTTCTTTGTATAAATAAAATTTTCACTATCAGTTCAGATATCATACAATACACACATTCGATAAATAAGTATCATTCAGTAAAATATATCTCATTCAATAAATATATATAGTATGTATGCAAAGTTATCATCAGAAAATCTAAATGGAAAATTGTGTGAATAATTTTACAATTTACACTTACAAAATTTATCAGCTTACGAATATCAAGCTTACGATTATCGCCGTGAATTTTTTTTTTTTTTTTTTACTTTAGCGAATATTAATAATATTGATATGTGAATAATTGATATTGCCGTTGATATCTGTGATGTTTTTTATAAAAATGTAAAAGAAAAAAAAAAATAATAAATAATAAATAAATAATAAATAATAAATAAAAATTGTGACGAATTTTTTTGTGATAAAAAAAATTATTATGAACGTTACTTTTTTGTTATATTGATTGTCTTTTCCCACTAAGTTTTTTTTTTTTTTTTTTTAAACTTAAAAAGGGGTTTTTAATTACGACATTCGTGGAGATCACGAATAAAAAGACGTGTCGCGCGTTGTTTATAATTGTCGCAATCGTCGCAATCGTCGCACATCTCGGCTTACTTTGTTTGTAATGATCGCGACTTATTCTCACTTATTTAGGTTATTTCGTTATCTTTATAAATTTTTTTTCTATAAATATCGCAATATCGCAATATCGCGCAAAAAAAACATTTTTTTTTTTTGAAAATATTTTTCTATATATATATATATATACATATTTGATATTTCTTCGTTTTCAAAACTTTCAATAGCTCTTTTTCAAACTTTTATAAATAATAATAAAAAAAAAAAATGGTTCTTCTAGAAATTAAATACTTAGAATATTTGGCTTATATTTTTTTATTTGCCCTTTTT